TTGGCGCCGATCTCCCCACCCTTGGTTCGCGCTCAAAGCGGCCGCAGCTGGTTTGTAAGAAACTCCTTGGGATGGACCACAAGATCAGGGACGTTCACTTGCATGCGGCTCGGTGGCTTAAGATCCAGACTCGGGCCTTCGCGTCCTTGCTTGAAGCGGACCAAGGGGGGGGGAGCAGGCCGCCCAGCTTGCTTCTTTGTTGCGCTCCCCTCCCGCCTCCATCACTGTGGGGGAGCACCATCGTTGCCTTTTTGTCGGAGTGGGGAGTCTTGTCGCTTCGCCTGACAGACTCCTTGCGGCCATGGGATCATCCTTCCGAGAGGGGCAAGACGAGGCCCTCGATCTAGCCAAGAAAGGCACTGCTAAAGGGTCTCGCAAGAGATGGCAGGCGTGGATCAGAGAGGGCATTAACGAGGGCGCCAGAAGGGTCCATACTTGCACGAGGGACCCTTGCCACTGGACCCCGTCCACCACGCTCTCCGCGGACGGAGCGATCGCGTCAGATCCCTTAGCGCCGTTGTCGGCTGAAGGATTCAAATTTCCAGCCTTCTGGGGTCAAGGGAAGGGGCTCTGCCTGGTTCGGCTTCGCTGGTTTCCCCTTTGCCCAGGCTCAGCGCCGACGACATCAGGAAAGTGTCCAAGAAATAGGAGTTAGGTTCGGCTGTTTTGTTTGACGGTTCAACTGCAGGCACTTTCAGTACTTGTGTGACGATGCGTGCCAATCTCGGCTGTGCTTCTGGCGCTGCTCCCCAAGCCGACTGGCGGCTGCAGACCGATAAGGGTGTTCTGCTCCTGGTACAGGTTACGGGGACCGTGCCGCCATCCTCACGCCCTGCACTGTGAGCAGCAACGCCCCCGTCGGTCCTGGGCCGCTGGGGAGCATAGAGGAGCTGCGGACGCGGTTTGGAGGCAGCGTGTCCAGGCTGAGCACGGTACTGCGGCCAAGAAAATATCACTCAGAGTTTTCTATGACGTGCTGAAATATAGCGAGACGGTAGACCGTAAGATAGTAGAAACGATATGTAGGAAGCACAACCTCCCGCTTGCTATAGCTAGAGTGGCCATTTTCGCGTTTAGATGTGGAAGATTTTTGTCGCTGGGAGGTTTGTTAGCTGGGCCCTATCACGCGATTAGGGTGGTGGTGGCGGGGTGCAACTTCGCCACCACTTTCATCCGCGTGTTTGGCATGGACGCTTTCGACTCCATCCCCTTAGCTCCCCGGACTGGGCTGGGCATCTACAGTGATGGCAGCAGTCTGTCGTCCACTGGTCCTAGAAACAAGGTCATTGCTACTACCGTTTCTGGTTCCGAGACCTTGCACACCGCCATCACCAGCATGCTCGGTTGCAGAGTCGCTCTCTGGAGAAGGTTTGCACTGTGGCGTCAAGCCACGAGGTGGCAGGAGCTGTCACCAAGCAGTTAGGTTCTCTGGCGGGCAGAGTGGAGGATTCCACCGTCAATTTGAGTGTTCATCTTTCTGCGGGCAAGGCGTTGCGAACCAAAGGGAGAGTGAGCAAAATCAAAGCGCGTTTGGCCTCGATGTGCAGAAGAGCTAAGAAGCTCAAGAACCTCGCAGACACCCTGGGCCGCAAATGCCTCAGCATCTTTTCGGCGGGCCCGCTGGCGGGGGGCACCTACGGATCGGAGATCGTGCGAGTCAGCGGCAGTGATCTTCTCCTCTTGAGAATGGCGGCCTTTGCACAAGTGAGGCTTTTCGCTCAGTCGAGGAGCTTGACTGCCGCCTGCTGCATTCTTGCCTTTGATCCGGTGTGACGTGCTGCCACGGCCCCTATCATTCGCTGGGGTACAGTGATTTCGCTGGCGCAGACTCGTGTTTTTGGTGGCTCTCTCTCTCTCGCACGCGGTTCTGCGAGAGGCCTGGAAGACTGCGTGGGCCAGGCAGAAGACTACTTAGGCCACTGTAGCGGGGCCTCTCAGTGCCATGCGCTGAACTCTGCTTCGTCTGTGGTGGAATATATGCCCCATTACGTCACCAGCTTAGATGACCGCGGTTGTGAGATCCCGCTGGGCGTCACGTCTCCCGCGCTGTTGGCCATCTTCTGCCGCGAGGCTCCGTTGCGCTCTGGAGAGGGGCTTAGGAGACAAGTGGGGGGAGGGGGCCAGGCTGTGCCTGGACGTGCCCAGGGCTGCTCTTGCTTCTAAGAAGTACGTTGCCAGTGAGAAGGGAATGCTCAGGGTTGCTTGAAGTGCCATTTGGACCCAGACAGGGCGATTGCGTGTGGGTATGTGATCACCGACAAGTGTGTGCACAATGGTGGAGTGGACTCGATCCACCATCGCCTTTGGGAATACCCCCATTGTGCCGACAATCGCGCTGAGGTGGCTCACTAGTCGGTAGTCGCCTCAGCTTTGGACACTAAGGCTGGTGAATACTCGGCCAACTTGTTTTTCTTCGGACATTTCGCTCATCCCGCTGACCTGTCCCCGAGACCCTGCTTGGAAGGGGACGTAGTGTTTGCGTGGCGCCAAGACGCTCTTGACGGTCCTGAGAGAACCGTGGAGCCTAGGCACGGGGATATATGGGGCCATCTGTTCCTGGATTGGTCCTGCAGCAGGCACGCTGTGAAGGAGCTTTGTAGGGCTGCTTTGGCCATCACCGTGCATGCTGACAACCGAGATTTCCTGGGAAAGGTCAGGCGGCCTGCATTGGCTCAACACCCCCAGGCTGGCGAACATTTAGCTAGGAGTACGGCGGGCACCCTGGTGAAGCACCCGTCAAGCATTCCAATGTGGACCTGCCCGACAGGGTGTCTGGTAGGAGAGTGTACAGTGGGAGCACCTTGGAGGCCAATGCTAGGGAGGGCTCCAAGGTAAGCGAGGTCCACAAAGTTGCTGCTCACAAATGGTTAGATGAAACTGGCCAACATGTACAGGAATCGTTTTACCGCAAATGCAACACTGACGCTGATGTTGCGGCCAAGCACGCTATCATTCTGCATCCTGCCTCTTTGCCCGATCTGGAGAAGGTTGGCATGCAAGTCTCGATTGCCACGACGGCTTGCAGATTAGCGGCCGAAGCTTTATTGCTGTGACCGAGGATCGAACTCTCGGAGGCTTCTAGGATTCCAGAAGCGCCCATACTGGTATATCGCAATCCTGGTCGCCGCTGGGCTGAATGGTCTGGTCTTTGGAGATGTATCGTTGTTTGTTAGGTCAGAGGTGCGTGGACAGTCCAGATCCAAGGGTTTGTCCTGGAATCAGCAAGCCTGATGAAGGTGTGCTCCTCAGGCTCAGGCAAAGCGTGCTCGCGGTTCCTTGCTCTGACGACAGTCACCTCTTCATGTGCATGGCATGCAGGTTCCACAGCACAGGTGCTCGGATCGATGGTCTAGGCGAGCCCTGTTGCGGAATGTCTACTCGTAACGCCGTGTTCGCGTGGAAGACTTTGTGCAAGAAGGGTGGACACCCGAACCCCAAGAAGAGTCAGGTGATTGTGGATGTCGGTGCTGCTGTCGGCCTGTTTGGCACAGCTGAAGAGAGCTGGCGGGCACCTCTTGTAAGGAGAAGCCTGCTGCCGCGCCTTCGGAGGAGGAGGTTCTGCCCCCCCCCCCCTCGTGAGCCTTCCCCCCGTGCTCAGAGGTGGGGGATGCTCAGGAGAGTCGCAGGGCGCCTGTTGCCCAGCGCCTCCTCGCTGCTGCTCGATCGAGCAACCAGGCCTCCGAGGCTACCGACCCTCTCAATGGGCGGCCTGCGTCGGCCTCCGGGCCCGTTCCTGCTTCGTGCCCTCCTCAAGGCCAAGCGGCGCTCCAAGCTGCCTTCCACTCGGAGGCCCTTTTGCGCGTGCCGTGCGCGAGCCTGCGGGCTCACGTTTTGTCCTGCCCTTTTGGCGAGAAACTACTGGTGCGGCTCTCTCCGCGCCAGCACCCGTCACCTCCGATCTCGGGAGGTGCCGGGAGTCTGGCAGTGGCCGCCGGCCACCTCTGCCTGCGCCCTGTGGGCTGTGAGGGCGTCGAGCCTAAACTAAACATGCGGGCGTGGCGAAGCTGCGTGCGCGGGCGGGAGGCGTGTTCCCGCCGTTGACGGGGCGAAGTCGTAGCATGAAGTATTCTTCTCATCTCTGGTTGGAAGGTTTTGGTGTGGGATTGTCCCGCGGCTGTCCCATAGTTGACCCGCGGTTGTCCCACGGTTGTCCCGCAGTTGTTCCGATGGTTGTCCCGATGGTTGTCCCGAGATTGTCCTGTGGTTCTCCTGATGAGTGTCCTGATGGTTGTCCTGACGGTTGTCCCGATGGTTGTCCCGATGGTTCTGCCGATGGCTGTCTCTATGGCTGTCCCGATGAATTTCGGCCAACACATTGCGCTCGGCGCTTTCGGCGTCTCTAGAGTTCATCGAACATGAAACACACATCGCCGGGTTGTCCCGATGAAACTATAAATATATCGGCTGATAAAAGATCGATACCGATCTACAAATGAGGTCGACAGAGATATCATTATGAATGCTGATTAAGATCGATGAGCGGTGATATCGATGTATAGACTTGTAAGGTCGATCTATACATCTGACATCGGTACGTAGTGATATAGACAGACACTCGTGAGGTCGATGATCATATCGATAGGTCTAAAACTCCATGTTGGGAGAGGCCGATCGATAGTTAAACATCCGCGAACCAAACGCTGAGCCAACGCAGAACCAAGACATCCGCGCGGACCTACGAAAGCTTATGGAGATGCGGTTTTCTTGGTCGTGGGAGTGGAAGCCTTCCAGGTGCGGTCAGAACAGATGGGCTTGGAAGATCGCGCCGCATCGCCGATGCATCACCACGGTATCGCCAACACATCGCCGTTGCATCGGCGATGCGTTGCCGACGTCGGCTATGCATCGGTGCGGTTGGGGCGAAGAACATCGGGATCCACATCGAGCCCCATCGACGAAGCATCGGCGGTGCGGCGCGATCCTCCGACTCCATCTACGTACTCGGGCCCATTTGGGGAGGCCTGGAGCGAAAGAACAATGCCGCAAGAACCCCCTCTTGCCTCCGCGAGACGGACCAGTTCGAGATCTCCAGCAGGTCGCACCTGCCAGGGGGGGCGCATGCGGGGTCGCGGCGGCGGGCGCGGACGCCGGGACAGGAGCGGTGGGCGCACACGCACACACACACACACACTCACATACAGATACACACACACGCAGCTGGAAAGCGTCCGAGGGCACCTACGCCATCAAGCTCCCCAAATTTCCTTGCGACATGAAAACCAATCACGACGGAAATAAGTTGAACGCCTTCGACCTCCTGGGCCCGCTGAGGTGAGGGCATTTGGACCGTCAGAATATGACTCGGAATGGCAAACCGCTCCTGGAGAACAGGTCCAGACCCGAGCCAGATCAGACAACACGAAAGGGGGCAGGGAAGAGGGCTGCAGCGAATCAGCTCACGTAGCTGGTTTCCCTGGAGGCGACGGCGACGACGACGAAAAGTGACGACGACGACGACGACGATGACTGATGACGGCAACAACGCCGACGACGATGACTGACGCCGACGACGGGCGACGACTGACGACAACGACTGACGACAACGACGACGAAAAAAAACGCTCGCCTCCGACAGCATGCGAGCCAGCCAGCGAGCAAACAAGCAAACCCTCCAGCAGCCAGCTAGCAAACCAACCACAGGACGACCGACGACGACGACGGCGGCCGACGACGACCGACAGCATTCGGCTTACAATTGGCTGGCAGGTGGCGGCAAACTGTTGTTAGAGACGCATACACAATTACACATGTCAGCTTGTAAATCCAGTCGGCCAGCACCCAATATTCAGTTTAGTTTCCACACCAGCATGGCGGCCATTCCTTTTTAAGAAATGCAAAGTGCTCTGCGCGTGCACGCATGCGGGTGACCATGGTCACTCCCCCACGCCCGCTTGCGCGGAGCTTTGTGCATTGCGATGTGCAAACACATGCAACACATTGCACATGTTAGCCTGGAAATCCAATCGGCCACCGCTGACAGTTCACTTTAGTTTCCAGGCCAGCACGGCGACCTTTCAATCCCGAGCAATAAAACAACTCTACGCGAGCACGCAGGCGGGTGACCATGGTAATCCGCTCGCGCTCGCTTGCGCGGAGCTTTCTGCATTGCGCTGCAGAATCACATGCGACATCACTGTATCACGTGGAAGTCAACCTTAGTTCCAAGAGCAGCACGGCAACCCGCCCACCCCTGACAATACAGAATACTTGCGTGAACACGCAGAAGGGGGTGACCATGGTCCCCCCCCGCGCCCGCTTGCGCGGAGCTTTTTGTCATGTGCGGCACAACTACATAAAATGGTACATGTGAGCTTGAAAATCCAATCGGTCAGTGGTAAGGGTTCAATTTCGTTTCCAGGCAAACACAACAACCGTTCCACACCAAACAATTCAAGACGCCCTATGTGAGCACGCAGACGGGTTATCGTGGTCACCCTTCAAGCACTCGCTTGCGCGGTGATTTCTGCATTACGCTGTACAACCGCACGCATCATGAGACGTGGCAATTTGGAAATTCAATACGTCACCGCTGACGGTTCATATTGCTTCCAGGCCAACACTGCGACCTTTCAATTCCAAACAACACAAAGAGCCTTACGCGAGCACACAGGCGGGTGACCGTGGTCACCTCCCCCGCGCTCGCTTGCGCAGAGCTTTCTGCATTGCGCTGCAGAAGCACGCGCACGCAGTAATTCATCAGAGTACGAAATCAAATCGACCACCGTCAAAATAACACTATAGTCCCCAAGCCAACACGACGACATTTCCATCAACAAAAACAAATGCCCCGCGCGAGCGGGTAAGCTGGTGGCCTTACCCCCACCTCGCCGCAGCCGCTTGCGCGGAGTTTTCACCGCTGCGCTGTGCAAGCGCATGCACAATCACACATGGCAAATGGGAAACCAAATCGGTCGCCGCCAAGGGCTATTTTTAGTCCCCAGACCAGCCTGGCAACCTGTCCAACCAAACCAATACAGAATGCTCTACGCGACCACGCAAGCGTTTGACCATGGTCCCCCCCCCCACGCGCCCGTTTCCGCGGAGTTTGCTGCATTGCGGCCCAGAACCACATGCAAAATGAAGCACGCCTGCGCGGCGACCTTTCACTACCAAAACATACAGAAAATACCCTACGCGAACGCGCAAACGGGTGGCGATGCCCCCCCCCCCTCCCCCACCCACTCCTCCTTCGCAACTGCATACGCGTAGCTTGCTGCATTGCGCTGCAGAAATTCATGCAACATGGCACGCGCTACCTTGAAAACCGCATCGGCCACCGCAAATGCTTCGTGTTGGTTTCCAATCCACACAATACCGAATGCTCTACGCGAGCAAGCAGGCGGGTGACCATGGTCACCCCCCCCGCTCCACGCGCCCGCTTGCGCTTAGCTGCTTCGCATTGCGCTGCAGAAGCATACGCAAAAGGGCGCATGCCAACTTGAAAATCCAACGGGTCCCCGCTAATTGTGCACTGTAGCTTTGAGGTCAGCGCGGCGGCTC